AGTCAATTTCAGATTGAACAACCATTAACCACGTACTTTCGTGCGCCGGTTTTGGTTGCTGTCTTTTGGCTGCCCATTTAGATGAAGGAGTAGGAGAAAGACAGGAGAGCTGAAAGTAGAGTAGAAAAGAAAATGTAGAAGTTCAGTGGACTAATGTTGCAGAGAAATATCGAACATGCACCATTACCACTGTTTAAGATATCCAACCATATCACTCAGAGTTTCTAACCGCCGATAACGATGATCCCGAGTTCCCCATTCAGGGAGCCTAACGCAACATATATGACCGAGTCTCCTGGTTATGGTTTTTGCACCATCGAGTCAGGTTTTAGTTTGCTCATCCTTTACTTTTTTCCATCCACTTCCTGCCTTGTCAAAAATCGCGGGTTGTGACAACCTATTTGGTGAAATACGCAACACATGCTCCGACCAGCGTAATCTATGGAGGTTGATCAATTTCTTTAGTGGACAACCGCAGTTACCTAAAAATGCAACTAACCTCACTATTTCTTATCCGGTTTCCCCACCAGACTTATTGAAAGTAGTGAAGACAGTGATATTCGAACATCGACATTCAATCTATATCCTGTTTTCTTAATGGCCAAGTTTCTGAACTGTAGCACAGAATTGGCAGAACTGCCGTAGCATGCACCCCACTCTTCACGGACAGCCGAATGTCACAACGGCGCCACAAATGTCTCAAGTTGGCAAATGCCAATGGAGCCTTCTGTTTGCAAGTTGACACCTCATCCATGATGCCTAGATGCCTAGATGCTCTATTATTTCTTTAGTTAACGTGAGGCTCGCTGCTGAACCAACCCGGTCTTGTAGTAAAATTTGACACTTTGAAGATGCAAAACGCATACCAACCATGGTTACACTAACACTTTAACTATCCAGAAAGGCTTGCAACTTACCTGGATCTTCACTCAAAAGTACAATGCCGTCTGCATACTCCAGATCAAAGTCTACCACCTGGAAGTAAGTGGATGATACTATCCTCGCACGAGGATAAGGCTGTTTGGATAATCAAATCTATACCAAAGTAAAATAGAAACGGACAGAGAGATCAACCCTAACGAACACTACTTTCCGTAACCAATTCGGGCGGAAGTGCTGTGAGCTCCGACTCGACTATCAGTATAAAGGGATCGTACTACAAAAATAAAATTTTCGGGCACACCCATCATGGATAGGTGGGCTCAAAGTCTATAGCGGTCGACTGGATTGAAAGCCGCTCTCAGACGGAGGAAGCGAGAAATCATGGGTCTGAGAAAGGAGTGTGTGTTCTATAATTTGACGAAGAGTGAAGATGTAGTCAATAGAACTTCGACTGTGTCTAAAATTAGCCTGGTTCTCACTCTTGAACTGTTCACATGCGGACGAGGAAATCTCTCAACGCGTGACCAAAGCTAGACTAGCGTTTGCTAATCTGCGGCATCCATGGCGCCGGCGCGACATATCCCTTTCACTGAAAGGGCGTGTATTGCGCACCGGTACGCACCGTGTCGCTCTATGGCTGTGAGAGTTGGCCTCTCCGAGCAGATCACGTCCGGCGACTTTCAGTCTTCGGCAATCGTTGTCTACGCAACATCGCCCGCGTATGGTGGGAGCATAGCGTGAATAACGATGAAGTCAGACGACGGGTGCTAGGATCAGATAGTCTTCTTTTGAGCAAAATAATTTCACAGCATAGTCTTAGGTGGCTAGGGCACCTCCTAAAAATGCTTGAACAATGTCTGCCACACCGTGCACTGTTCGCAGACATCGGTCCAGACTGGAAGAAACAGCGAGGTTGGCAGGCTACGATGTGGCGCAGAGGTTTAAAGAGATTGTGCTCGGATCTGGCTTCCCTTAGGGTTTCATGGTTCCCCGGCTGGGGCCTCAAAGATTCAGATTGTCTTTGACAGGAGACATTGCGGGATATGGCATCGAACCGAAGTCAGTGACGCAAATGCATCCCCTCCTGTTTACAATCAAAAAAAACGAAAAACTCAAAATGGCGTGCAGTAAACAAACAAAATAATTGTTACTCCACGAAGTTGACTGTTTTATTCTCCCTGCTTTTGTACCTATATTTTTCGTTCAGCCATGGTTATTTTGGCGCCGTATCTGTAAAGATTGGTGTTAATCATTATGTGTATATATATATACATAATATCAGCCAGAAGTTTAGAAACGATGGTGATTGAACCGATTCTTATGTGGCTTTTACAAGAGGACCTGTCACCTTTCTTGTAAAGCAGTAGGATGACTGATTCACACCATTTCGTAGGAACCTGTTCCCTCTCCCACATTGAGCTCAAGAGTTTCGTCAACTCCAAGACTGAACCTCCGATGAGGACAGCCCATCCGGTTAGAAGCCTGATACTTTTTGAGATAATTTACCCCCTAAGTAACCTCCATTTCACCATCACCATCATCATCCTACAGCGAGATACAGTGAAGCGAATTCCATTGACTGCTGCCAACCTCAGTGCACACAAATCAAGTGATAACGCATAAAAAGGGAAGAGGTTGGGCCTAATTGGAGGGAGGCGAAGAAGGTGAACCTCTATGGTGAACACATAGAGTACACAAT